GAGAGTAAAAAAAAAATAAAAAAGACCTGTAGTCAAGGAGGTAGGCTTGCCGATCTTTTGATGAAGTTAGGGTAGGCGCACAGTCAGTTATGCGGGAAAGTGGTGAAGATTGTGTCCAACGTGGAAAATGATAACGCAATCGATTAGGTGAAATCCACATCTAGATAGAACGTGTGCATAGTCTGTAGAAGAGGATAAAGTTTGCAAGAATTGTCTGATCGGGTCGGAAACAAAAAAAGATCCTCGACATCGAAGAAGGTGGTTTTTTTACAACATGTGCAATTTTTTCGAAGTTTGCAAATATCAACCTTATTGAAAGCTTAGAAGGAGGGAGAGAGTGAAAGGAGCACCGTAAAATTCGGCTAAGAAGGTGGGTGAGAGTTAGAAAAAGAAAAAGAAAAAAAAAAACGTTTTTTTTTACACAACATAACTCATCCCCGAGAGCAATCAACCGATGACGTCCAATCAAGATATGGCGATATAATAGGATCGATTCAAACTTACATTGAGTGTGGTATTTGTGTTTTCCGCTTTTGACCGATCCGACAGTTTAACTCAGCAACGGATGTGATCGGCTAATCTTTTCACCCGAACAGTAAAGCGCGAAGGTCATTTAACAATGAACCTGCCGGTGTGTTTGCTTAACTAGGCTTGGGATGGACTACCTTCCGACCTTGCAAAAACAACTAGCAACGATTTGATCGGCCGAGATGAAGTGGAAAGAAAGGATAAAGGAAAAGGAGAAAGAATAGAAGTGAAGCATCAAGGAAGAAACAAAATAACAGCGCGGCAGTTATCCTCCTCAAGGTTTTTCACATGCATGACATCCTATACTTGTTACCTGCGTAACATGGCAAACGTGTTCGCGCCCCTCCACGTTCGCCTGAAGAGCTCGTGAACGTGTTCAGGTGAACATAGTTTTTTTCCTGTTAAAAAAAAAAAAAAAACAATTTTTTTTTCTTTTCGGTTTTTTATTTTTAACTCACGTTTGTTTTAAAATTTGAACACGACTCCAATGCAAAAGTTGCTTGTACTGTTGTTTTACATCACATATATATTTTTTAGATATATTTCAGATATTTTATTGATTTTTTTTTTTTCGCGTTCTGAGGGATTTGGGCTAGGTTACCAGTCGGGCCGCTCAGGTCACCCTATTTTCCCGGGTGGCCCGACCGTGCAAGGATCAGGGAATGTCCCCAGAAAAAAAAAAAAAAAAAAAATCCGGAAAAAACTATGTTATGCCTTGGCTACTAGAGTGGCCCGAGTCCACTTACCCGCCCGGATCGAAAATATAATATGTTGCACAACGTACACGTACAGACCCTTTCCGTACGAAACGTACAGTTATTATCTGTACGGGATTTGTACGGCAACCTGTACGGGAACCTGTACGTTTTGTNTGTTTTGCCGTTGGAGTCCAACGACGAGGCCGATCTGGACCCGCGAATGAGAGAAGGGACGCCCAGTATGATGGAAATACCCCGCGTTTTCGTTCTTTCGGTCTTTTTTTCAATGCTCCGTATCGGACCCAACGAGTGTGCGGTACACCTTTCGTCGCAATTTCGTCGACACTGTGTGTACCAGAAAGTCTCTGACAGTGTCGGGTACGGCTGTGCACTAACGGTGGCATGCATGTGTGTGTGTGTGTGTGTGTGTGTGTGTGTGTGTGCAAGTTCAACACACACAGACACACACACACACACAAAACAAAAAAAAGAACACACACGCACACGCAACCCTATTGAATTTCGCCTTTCTATTTTTTTTTTGGGGGGGGAAGGTTCACCAGATGGGAACCGTATCGAGCGTCCCTATAGAAATAGATATGCACAACGATTCTGAGAGACTGTCCAGTGCAGTGCAGTGCAGTGCAGTGCAGTGCAGTGCAGTTGCTCGACCAAGTTCCCAGCAAACAAACCCGGACGAGCGGTGCAACTACGTAGCGGTCTATCTACATCGCTTCTGTGAGTTTGTAGGCTGATGACTGGGACGTGCTGTCCTGATCTTCTGTAGCCGACACCCACCCGTGTAATGTACGTGAGATAGCATTGATGGAGGATTCTGGCCCACCAATGAGGATGAGCTGAATAACTACCTGGGTGAAAGATTTGCACTCGTTCCTATGATCCTATAATGGAATTGCACTCTACCTGTATATACTGTGATGCACTGTATGTGTAAGAAGGGCTTTCTCCCTGTCTGGTCTTCTCGTTTTGTGAGGCCGAAAAGGAGGACTAGGACTCCGGCCGGTGCGGTGCCTTGCGGCCGCGTGGGAGTAGAATGGGGCCGGCCCAGTACCCAAAAAATGAGGTATGGGGTATATTCCCACTTTACCAACACTTTGAAAGGGGGACAAACTTCATCTAGTCCTGAGATTGAAGCTTAGCCAATCAAAAAGCACCTGAACATAATGGACCCGGGATATCACTGTATACAACCTGCCTTTCCAGTCTGATACAATCATAATGAGGGTGCATTGTCTTCCGGGAAGGGGAGGAGGGTAGCATCTTTGCATCTTAATCCTCTGATAGCATCTTTGCATCTTAATCCTCTGAATATCTGTTTTGACGTAAGATGGGACACTGGAACCGATTTCCAGCAGGTGCGGCTCCCCACCAATAGATTGGAGCAACCAGGAAACTTGCTAGGGGGGGATGCTCGTATCACCTCTTCTAGCAGATTTCCCGTTTTAAATTAAAAGAAAAAGGAAAAAAAAGGGTAGCATCTCTGATATTGTCCTGGGTGATGAAGTTCCAGAGTCTCTTCCATCCCAATAGATTGGAGCCATCTAAAACTGGGACACTGTTAATGAAGGGTGCTCTTATCACCTTCATTAACCAGTACTTCCTAAAGTTGCGTAGCGTTAATGCTACACAATTTTAGGAAACGTACGGGCCACTACAGGAGCGCCCAAATTCATCCAACTAGAAACGTTTGTACTCTATTTTTTTCCGCGGCCGATAGCTGGGCCGAGTACTGGTGGTTTAACAGATGGTCCAGCCATTGGGAAAGAATCTGAAGACTAGCGGGCTTCCCCCTCCTATTGCTCTCTCCAGGGGACAGCAAGATGAACAGGCAATCGCCCCTATGTAAGGCAATCAATGAACTTTTTGGAGGGGGAGGGGGAAGAAACCTTCTTTGCGGCTTTGCGAGCCCAGTGTTTGATGGCTCCAGTCTATTGGTGGGGAGCAGCACCTGCTGGAAAGCGGGTCCGGCATCCCATACATTGTCGAATGTCTATGTCGGGCATTATAGCATCCTTTACACTGAGTGCCCCGAGGGTTGACCGACAAAACACTGCCTCTTCAGCCTGTATAGAGGCCGCCTGATTATAAGTRACAAAACTAGCAGTKCTGTTGCTCCCTATACGCTGATTCAAAAGCTTACCTATAATATGCTGATTCAAAAGCTTACCTTCTCTGTGCCTGACACTGCCTGTAGCTGCTCTTTGAATTCCACGAGTCTGGCTCTGTTCTTGTTGAAGGGAATCAGGAACCAG